GCGCGCATGCCCTCGGGCGTCAGTTTTCTCCTATGTAAAATGAGGTTGATGGTAATAGTTCCTGCCCCGTGGAGTTAGTACTGATAGCAAATGAGTTCACGACGGCAAAGCGCTTGGCACCCTGGCTGGCTCACAGTAAATGCTGAGAAAATGCAAGAAACTCGATCAAACTTTATCATCTCACAATGGGCACCTCTGACCTGGACTCGGTGCAAGAAATACTATGCTATCCACTGCCCTGCCCCTGCTCAGAGGACCCTGCAGGCTAGTTTAGGGGTTCTCAGTTGGGGAATCAAAGCTGAGTGGGGCCCGGGAACGGCTCCCACCTGCCCGCCTCCTCTTCTCATTCCTGGACAGGAAGGACGCAAGAGGGGAAGGTGCTCACTCCCCTGGCACCAGCCTGGTGGCCTGCCCTGTCGCTAAGTGTCAAACCCGGCCTCGAGGGGCAGGCACAGAGCCAGACAGCCACGTGGGGACCCGTTAGACCAGTTCCCTTGGGTCTCAGGCCAGAGCTGTGCATGGTGAGACAGGGGAGTGGGTGACAGCTTGAGGGGGCAGTGTCCCTATGTGCAGCGAGAGAGAAGTACTATCCCATGGGCACTGTGAACTTGTGACTCAGCTTTTCCACTTCCAAAAAAACGCACTGCCACTGAGTGGATGCCACTGAACCATAGCAACCCTATGGGGCAGGGTGGAAGTGCCCCTGGGGGCTTCCAAAATAGTAGGTGACACTATGGGAGTCAGAAGTGGCATGTTTCTTCTGCAAAGAGGGGATGTTGGTTTTGAACTGCCAACCTCGAGGATCATAGTCGCTGTGAAAGCCTGGATCTGCCCCTGAGCCTCTCTGTGCCCCGGTTTCTCATCTACACAATGGGGGTGACGACATTGGTACCTATTCCATAAAGCCATCGTGAGGATTATAGAAGATGATAAAGCTTTTGTAGTGGTGCCTGGGACAAAGCACCACATGAGTTATTTCTGTTATTTGGACAGATAGGATGACAGCATTATTTTCTAATCGGGAGAACAAAGAAGCCCCTCCGCCCACCCCCACACTGTCATTTAGAAAGCAGCATCCCAAGCTTCCCGAGCTAGTGGGACCCACCAAAGGCCTCCCCCAGCCCGATCTTGTTGCTGACTCCACGCTGACTGACTATCCTGCCGGCCCCCAGACTTCAGACAAAGAGCTCATCCTCGCTCGCACATTTGCAATGGAGAACGTGGCGTTCCATTCCCTGTGAATGGCGCCTTTGCCATAGTGGGTCCGTCCTGTCTGCCTCCAACGTCGAATACCCTATTTTTATTTTCTCTTGTCCTGGTCTTGATAGGAATCAATGGAAGGTTTTTTGTTGGGGGTTTTTCAGACCTCAAGTTGATGGGTTTCTTCTTGGCTCTCTACTACGGTATGGCCTGAATCACCAACCCTCGCACGGTCCTCCTGGGACTCTGGGCTCCCCCCTGTTCTGATAGCCACCTTACAGCCTGCATATGTACAGACAAGTGGGCCACAGCACTTACTCCCTCATGTGAGCCCCGCTTGGGCCTAAGGCACCATCAAGGGGTAAGAAGTGCTAAGTCCGCAGGGACCCGGAGCCTCCACAGCACAAGTGGACCTGCTTCCCCTTGAATCTCCATGAATGGGCATCAGGAGCAATCACAGGCGCCCCTGGCCCCTGGCCCCCAAAGTCCAAGTTCCCTCGACTCACCAGCCATCATTTGCTTTGCCACCTGGCAGGGGAGGGCCCTGGTTCCTGTGCCTTTGACCCACTCACACTCCAGCAACTCTCGCCCCCACCCATCGGGCCGCCCTAGCCCTTCCGCTCTGGGGGCTGTGGGGTGTGGGTGGGAGGCTAAACTGGGAGTTCAGAGACAGCCTGGCGGCCTTGGCCTTCTCCACTCTCCGCCCCCCCCAGACTTTGGATCCCAGGGGATCCTCCAGTGACCTCATTGTTCTGGTACCTGACCTTCCCCCCACTCCCTACCTAGTTTCTCAAAGCTGGGAAGGGGGCAGGAAATGCACAAGTAATTATAGCCTGAGAAGGAAGGAGGGAGGGAGGGTTCCAGCCCACTGATTCCAAGCAGTAGCTACTACCAGTGACCCAGAGGGGCAGAGTGGGAGGCCCCCCCGGGCAGCCATGGTCCCGTGTGAGCTCCCCTGGCCTCTCAAGAGCCCGATCCTATCTTGGGCAGGACCCAGACTCAAGAGGCCCTTATGAGGGAGACACAGGCAGGGAAGAGCTGGCGAAGGAGCTGGGGTCTGGCACCTGCGTTCTCCTCTCAACAGCAATGGCTGGGAGGGCCTCCGTGTTTTCTCAGCTCAGCTGGGCCTCCCATTTCCCCCAGCTCAGTGGGGGTTGGGTGGGCAGGGTAGAAGGAAGACTAGAGAAGGTGGTGGCTGCTCTATTCAGAGGGACTGGTTGGCATGAGCAATGCTCAGCAAGTTTGGCATCCCTCTCCCCGACCTCCCTAAGCCTCCACCACCCGGGAGAGCACACACAATAGCCACACCATGGAATTCCAGGTGACTAGGTCTCAGGGCTTGGGGAGAGAAGACATGCCCGGGTTTCTCGGCTTTTGGGGACCAATAGGTCCTAGGCAGCCCCCAACCCCTGCAAGCCCCACCATCCTTTCGGACCTCACCTCTCTCTCTGTCCCCTGCTGTTTCCTTCGGTCTTCCCACCCTTAGCTCAGGGGTTCCCTTCCGAGGCAAAGGGAGCTCCAGCTATCTGACCTTCTCCTGTCTCTCTGCCCTCCCCCCACCCAACCTGATGTCAAGCGGTGTCCGCTCGGCCCCTTCACCTCAAGATCACAGCGGAAGCTGCCAAGTTCAGTGGTTCAACTCCGAGAAGGTTGCCATGGTGACGTAGCAAAAGCAGTCACACAGCTTACCTCACAGACCCCCACCTCCCCAACTTGAGCTGGCCTCCAGCATTGACAGGTCCCTTCCCCTTCCACCTGGCAAGAATACACAACACACAAGCACCTAACTCACGAACCTAGCCCACATGGGTAAAGAGCAAAACCTGCTGCCCCCCACGCCCAGGTGGAGGCATTTGGGACCCCCTCACACACCGAGACAAGTTCTGCCTATGCACAAGAACGCCAAGCTGCTCTGCTCAGGGACCTGCTCTCTAAGGCCCCACCCTGAGAAAGCCAAGCATTCCCCAGCTAGGCCCCCTCCTGCCCTGGTGCCTGGAGATGGGTACTCACCCAGCGAAGCCCCTGGATGCAGCTGGGGCGCTGGTGCTTAAGCAGCAGCTGGTAGGAGCAGCTTCTGGGCCGGTACATCCTCCTCAGCACCATGGTAAGTAGTGTCCCCTCAGGCACCACGTCAGGGAGGCCCCCGGAGGATGACTCTTCCAGAGCGGGGTTCTCCTCCACAGCCAAGTCCACCTGCCAGCGGCCCTCACCTGGCCAGCCCACCTGTGACGCCGGAAGGAAGGCGGGCAGCCATGGGGCAAGCGCTGGACACAACTGCTTCAGGCAGAACGCTTGGGTCCACGCCTCTGGACAAGCCTGGCGGAGGTGCGGCAGCCCTGCCCCGGGCCGGGGAGGGACAGGAAGACCTCCGCTGGGCCTGCCGGGTTGCTCACTTAGGGACTTGGCCGGGTTGGAGAAGAGGGGCCCTTCTCAGCCTGCTTGGGAATTCGGCCCCTGCGGAAAGCTCCACCGGCTCTCAGCACTAGGCTCCTGACCTGCTCGATCCCAGCAAGTGCAGCTTCGCCTTCACCCCTGCCTCTCCTCCCCCCTCACCCTTTACCCACCCCCTGTCTCCCCCCCCCAAACGCCCCACCGTGTCAGCTTCCTCTCCCGCCCCTGGCGCCTCCCCGACCTTTACCTACCTTCATGGTATTTCGGAAGCTCGCTCGCTCCGCAGTGCCGGCTTTGGCAAAGTGAGAGGCAGAGATCGCCTGCCAGCTTCACTGGGGGAGCGCGGGCACAGGGTACCGGAGTATTTCCGAATGGGTCCGGCTGCCTGAGCAGCGAAATGCAGGGCTGGGTGACGGGGTTCCTCTTGGGTGGGCAGAGGGTTGGGGGTAAAGGTGGCGGGAGGAAGACACCCACCTCCCCCGGGCGACCGGCAACCCCAAGAGTCCGCCTCCGTCCCAGACACAGAGCCAGCAGGCACCGGGCGCTGAAGCGAAGCTGCAGCTGGCACCGGGCCGGGCGGGAGCTGTCACGCCCCCTGCGCTGCCCGCCCCTTCTCCTGCCCCCTGAGGGGGCGGGGTAGGAGAGGGCGCGGGACGCGGGACCCGGGGCGGGCACCGGCAGGGGTGGAGTCCAGACCCTGGGGTCCGACGGGCTGGCTCCAGCCCAGAGGGAAGACACACACACACACACACACACACACACACACACACCCCGCAGGTGTGGGGGGGCGGCGCAGCGGGCCGGGGTCCCAGAGTCCCCGCGGTGAGTGTCCACATGGGCCGCCACGTGGCCGGGAGGAGAAATGCAAACAAGGAAACGGGGATAGGGGGGAGCGGGGTGAGTCATTGCGGCCCCACCCGGGAGGGAAATCCGGGCTGGAGCCGCTTCCCGGCCGGGGGGCGCCCTGCCTGCCTACTGTTTGGATTCAGGGGCTCGAATTGCCCTGGGGGCAGGGGCGGTGGGGTGCGCCACACTGAGCGCCCTTGGAGAGGGAAATCCCACTGCCCTCCGCGCCCCCGCCGCTCAGCACGTCTGGACACACGGTCCCCATCCCCACGCCCTCGGACTCGCGGGGAAACTGAGACTGGAGAGGAAGTGTGGGGACGAAGCCGCTGTGGTCTCGGTGGACGCTGGAGTTGTGACTGGGCTTCGAGAAGAGAAGCGGGATTTAGAGGACCACGCACCCCACCATTCCCCCACCTCGAGCTCTCTCCCTAGCCACGGCCAGGGGCTGGTTGGGCCAGAGACTCCAGTGTCCTTGGCCGACGACGACAGAACCGAGGGCCGCACGTGCTGGGCCGCACGTCTTACTCCAAGCGCCACCCTATTGGCTCCACTTTTGCTTCTAAGACAGCGGTTCTCAACCTGGGGGTCGCGACCCCTTTCGGGGGTGTAGAACAACCCTTTCACAAAGGTCGCCCGATTCATAACAGTAGCAAAGTGACAGTGATGAAGTAGCAGCGAAAATAATGTTATGGTTGGGGGGAAGGTCACCACAGCATGAGGAACTGTATGAAAGGGTCGCGGCATGAGGAAGGGTTTAGAGACCGTAATAGGCCGGGACAAGGACTCCCATGGCAGTTGCTATCGAGACAGCTCTGACTCAGTCACTCCATACATCAGAACAGGCCTCCACTGATGGCTTCTGGTCCTTAGAGGAGGGCTTGGGAGAGCCCTGGCCTTAGGACTTTATCCCATCTCCTGTCCTTGGACCCTGAGCCTGCACCCAGCTCTTGGGCCCCAACCCCGTTTTTCTCCCATGTTTGTTTCTTGGAGTGAGGAGCAGGATTTAAATTGTGGTTCAAATCCCAATGTTTAACGTCTACGCAAGCCTTCTTTGGGCATGATCGAATTGTGAGTTCCACCGCCAACCTCTCCAAAGCCGAGCTCAGTCCAGTTGGCATGACACGGACAATCTGGGCTTGGGACAAACACTCCCAGGCCATCTGCTGTGCCCCCATTTTGAGAAGCACTGGAGGATTTTTAAGCCCCACCCCCCCCCCTCAGGGAGGGGAGGAGCGGAGCCTGTGCATGAAGATAACCCTGGGTCCAGATGTGCATGAAGATAACCCTCTGCACATCTGGAAATGTGGAAGAAAGAAGAACAGCCAGTACTGTGGGACAGGATGACATGCTGGGGTGAGGGCACACCTGTAAGGGAAGTTGAGGGACAGTGGGGGCTGGAGGTGGAGCAATGTGTTGGAGCTGTGGGTTGCCATGAGACCAGTGTCCTGACCTAACAGTTCTTCCAAGGGGAGTTTCCCGAAACTGGCCATGGGGTCAGAAGGGGGTCCTCTGTTTTTCTCTTCATCGTGCCTCGACTTCAAGAAGGTGGAAAGGTGCCAACATGAACCAGGACATCGATTTACCTGCAGACTTCTCAGCCGAGCCACAGTAGCCAAGCACTGTGTGCCAAGCTCTGCTCCAAGGGCTTTAGATGTATTCTTCCCAGCCCACAGGAAAGAGAAAGGTCCATTGGAAGGACTGGCCAAGCCACAACAACCTCAGGAGAAAACCTAGCAATGACGATGAGGATGACGAAGGACCGAGCTGGTATGCAAAAGGTGGCTATGAAAAACAGAACAAAGCAAAAGGCCGCTCTGAGCTGGAACTGGCACCTAGCCACAGCAACAATGGAGTAGGTAGGCATAAACACTCAGCTTCTATCCCAAAGGTGAAGAGCGTGACCCCACCATTTACTTGGCCGGAGAAAGCCTGGTGATGCGCTCATGTAGGTGACTTGAGAGCCCACCTCCATCCCAACAATGACCCCAACCTTGGGGGCTGCCAAGAATCAGAAGCTAAGCCAGTAGCGGCTATCTATAACAGCATGGAGCAGGGACTGTTGTTTGTTACACCTTGACAGATGGGGAAACCCAGGCTCTGAAGGATTGAGCGATGTACTACCTACCTCACAGAGCAGAGCCCGTGGTGGAGTGCTGCAGCTGGAACCGGAATTCCAGTTGTGTGGCTCCTCTTAACCTCCATGTGATGCTTCATTCTGTATGCTTCCACTGATATAGTAGATCCATCCTGCTCATCCACACTGCCTAACAAGGAGCCCTGACGGTGTCGTGGTTACTCATTGGGCTGCAAACCGCAAGGTCAGCAGTTGGAAACCATGAGCCACTTCATGGGAGAAAGATGGGGCTTTCTACTTCTGTCAAGAGTTATAGTCTTAGAAACTCACCGGGGGGTGGGGCAGTTCTACCCTGTCCAATGGGGTCCCGTTCGGTTCCATGGGCAGTGCATTGATTTGTTTTTTGATTTATACTAAGGAAAGGGGATCAGAGTGTGTGTGTGTGTGTGTGTGTGCAAGGATCCAGAGAAAGTGAGTCACATCAGTGAAGGTTACGTGTTCTAAACCCACTTTCTCCCGTCTATGTCTCCCCACCCCCGTCATCACTCTTTCTTTTTTTTTTCCATTGCCCCTTTATCATTCCCCATCTCCTGGCAGCCTGAGAAGATGGCCTGGGGTGATGACCTGCTCTTGGATAGCCAGGGAAGTCCATCCGGGTTGGACCTTCCATTTGTCTAGTTTCTGTTGCTGCCAGGCAGGGCTCCAGCCTCCTGCCAAAGCAGAGGAGGAGCAGGTTTTTCCTTTTGCAGGATTCCTCTGGAGATTGGCCAGAGGAATCACTGCCCAGTAGATATTTGAGTGGAACTGCATCCAGAGAGGTCAGGGGAGCTGGGGTAGCATGTATGAGAAAGGCATCCCAAGCCACCTGGTGAATCATCTTCGGATAAACATGCCCTGGGACTGCCTCCACCCTCCCCTGGCTGTCATTAGTTTGTTGGTAATAATTAATAGTAATCATAGTGCACTTGGGCCAGGCTGTGTTGTTGATACTTTATATACGTGAACTGATGTAATCCTCCCGACCCTGTCAGATAGGCACTATTGTGAACCCATTTTTCAGATCAAGAAGCTGACACATACAGAGGTTCAGCGATTTGCCTACGGTCCCGCAACTAGGAAGTGGTGGTATCCTGAGTGATTTAATCCCAGATGTTTGCTCTAGTCTGTGTGCTTTAGTATTTTGAATCTCACCTCTCACATATACTGATGGCTTCCACAAGGAGGGTAAAGCCCATGTCTGGAGTCCTTTCCCCCACCTCTGGGTGCTCCGGCCTTGGGGGCGGGGGTAGAGGAGCAGGCAGATGAGAGGAACTGGACTGCAGAGCTCTCTAGACACAGTCTACCCATTCTCTGAGCTCTACCAGGGCGCTCCGCACACACACCAGAACCGGGGGCTACAGGGCTGTCCACAGAGTGCTCCCAGAGGGCAGGATGGGTGAGGAGGCCTTCTTGGGCCCTGGCTTTGTGTCCCGCTTGTACTCCTCCCAGCCTGCCCTCTTTTCTGAGCTTGACGCTTGTGAAGAGGCATGGATGGTTCCGTGTTAGCGTTCCCGCCAGCCTTGCAGGAGACCTGGGTCTGACTCTCGGCCAACGCACCTGCTCCTCCTGCGCAGCCGACCCCCTCGTCTGCCAGTGGGAGCTCCCACGGCGCTGTAGTGGGTGCTCAGCAAAACCCAGCGGAGTGTTTTTAGACTAGGACAAAAGACCTGATGATCTACTTCCAAAATCCAGCCGATTAACAAAACCGAAACAAAAATCCCCTCTGGATCATAAGGGTTTGCTCTGCATCACGGGGATGGTGCAGGACAAGGCAGCATTCAGTCCACTGTGGGCGGAGTCGCCCCCGAGGTGGGGGCTCAGCCACCGCTTCCGGGACTGGCATAGATGCCTGAGCCTCAGCATGCTCCAAGTTCCCTTCCTACCCAGCCTGTCTCTTCGCTGGCCTTGCCTCTCCTGGCTTGCTGCTCACAGACACTTGGCACTGCCCTGGCTCCCTCCTTTCTTTGCCAATCCAATCTGGCACCAAGTGGAGTTGGTCTGGTCAGTGAGGTACCTCTTACATCCATCTGTGATGCACCCATGCAAGGGTTCTAGCCCAGTGGTGGCTCTCCCCGTGCCGGCTACGGGCAGGGTGCTGTGTCTATCCTCTTATACATATCTTCACATTTGCAATCCCGATTTGCAAGTGAGGACCCCAAGGTACATGCAAGTTAAGTAACCTGCCCGGGGCCGCACAACTGGAGCTAGCCTCCGGCCACCATCAGACCCCAGCGTCACGTTGTCAACCACTGTTTCATACTGCGTCCTTGACTGTGGCTCTCGACCTTACCTCCCTCTGTTCTTCCTGTGTGCTGGCGGGAGAGTCTTTATGTCATTCAACGGCCTTTATTAGAGGTGTCAGGAGTTTTGCTCTCTGCTTGTCCGCATTCTCTAGCGCACCGCTCGTCTGTGTGTTTGTTGTGACTTGTGTGTTTCAGGGATGCTGGACGCTAGGCCGGTGGTATTTCAAGTACCAGCAAGGGTGATGACATAAATCACGACTGTCCGT